AGTTGACAGACTTACAACACTGAAATCCGGGTCTCGATTCTTCGAAGTGGACTGAACGTAGATAATCCTTTGTGTTGCTTTGCGCTTAAACAACAGTAGTATTTAGTTTAAAATCAGTTTTCAGAGACAAACTTTTTCAGGGAAAGTGGCATCAAAGTATGTCATAAAGATAATTAATTTCATAATTCATTGCAGGCATCTATTATAAGGTTGTGGTCTATATAAGTTGCAAAACGTCTCAAACCTGCAATTTTTTAAATAAGAAAAAGATAAAAATCTTCAGTACACTTTTAAAATGAAGTGTTTAGTAGCAAAGGCATTTATAATCTAATTTTTAAATTCTACTTCGTGAGGTTTATGCATGGCAAACATGTGAGAACATGCAAATTACTAATTGTTCAAATTGATAGATAAGCAAATATCGAAAAAACTTGCCCTGCCTCTACTTTTGCACTAGTAATTGTTCACAATTGTTTTGAGTGAAAAATTATTTTATAATAACGTATTACACTTTGTTAAGATTTTGCAAATTTTGCAGACTGAAACAGTTCCAACATGTAAGATTATTTGAAGCTATTTATAAAACAAGCATAAATGAAGAAAAACGTGTGCGTTTAGAAAAGTATTCTATTTGTATCCATTCATTTCATATACTCCTTTGATGGGGCAGCAGTCAATATACAGACTTAGAGTGCTAAAATCTCCGCAGTGGACAGAGCGCAGATTGCGTAGCTTTGCGCTAAAAAAAGAACAAGAAGAAAGAAACAAAGTAATTTCATATACTCCTTTTATGGGGCAGCAGTCAATATAGAGACTTAGAGTGCTAAAATCTCCGCAGTGGACAGAGTGCAGATTGCGTAGCTTTGCGCTAAAAAAAAGAACAAGAAGAAAGAAACAAAGTAATTTCATATACTAAGTTGATAAAGTATGTTTTAGGGGATTTATAATGTTGTTTATTGAAATAATGGCTCTACTAATTTCTTGCATGTACGATATTGACGTCAATCATTGTAATAGAATGCGTCGCTTCGCATAACTGTTTTTAATTTAACCTTCAGTTAAGATTGTGATACACTTAGAAAGGTTCTGATTCTATATAGATTTGAACAGGAAATAAACTGACGCACTCGTGATAACAGGTAAGAGAACTGATAGAAAAAAAAGATACATCACTGGAAGAATCTAGATATGACCAATACGACTACTGATTTCCTAGGAATAATAGGACTATAGGCTTTCTTAGAATACATTGATTTACACGTATTGTTCTACAGATTACAGATTCTACAGATTGAAGGGTGTACTTTTTGCGGTTGTTAGTGTGTGACTTAAGTAATTTGAATTTCAGCATGTTTGCTTTTTCCCCGAGATCCAAGAAAAAACTTCCATGTGTGTGCAGTAACTGTTAATGTGACAGTTTGGAAAAGTTAGGCATCCATACTTCTAACAAATGTTGTTGTTTTTTGAGATTTTCCTTCATCATTTTCTTTATATCACAATCTTTGCTCTGTGACACCATCTATACCAAGGCTTAGAACTGTTTGATTTAACTCTTCTAGGTCTCAAGTCTCTTTCTCTTGTGTTATTCCATTCCCGCAGAACTATCACCTCTACCCAGTTCTCTCTCTCTCTCTCTCTCTTAATCTTATCACCTATACTAGGATCAATATTGGGGATCATCAACCACACCCTGCGTTGTCCCTTAGAACCATCACCTCTATCCATTCTTGAGATCACCGAATCTACCCTGTTCTATCTCGTAGAATGACTATAACAAATGAAAGGACTGATAATTTCACTCTCGAAGAAGGAGTAAAGAATATATTTATATGAATAGAATTTTTCAAATTACTTATTTCATTATCAGAAAATGTGGAAAATAAAGTGTAATGATACGGTGTATATACAGAAGTTGAAAACGTTATATCAAAATGTTGTCATGTACTTTACCGTACAGGTCGCTACATCTGGTTATGCTCTACTCAATTATCGTGCAGCTTGGCAATAGCCCTGCAGCGTCGTTTCCATTGAAAAAAAGACTCTGTGGTAAGGCTATCATGTCTAAAGCATGCACTCTTCCCTGTGTACTTTCTATAATCCACCTAATGAACTTGTGGTAATTTCTCAGCACCAATTTCAACAGTTCAATTTCACATAAATACATCGGTGAGTTGACCGGTATATCTTCATGCAGAATAGCATGAATACACTATGGTTAAACAAATATGTCATGAAAGCAAATGTGTACATTTGACTTGTGTCGCTTTGTCAAATAGAAATCCTTCTTGACTAGGTTGCGTATTGTTTGCCTGTGGCGGACGACTTTTGTCACTGACATTCGTGTTTGTAGATCCATACTTGTTACAAGACGCTGCACTTTGCTTACCATAACTGAGGTATGACTTGCTGCAGGTCTCATTTTGGATGGTCCTAGTTCCCATATTTTATCAGTATTCCTTTGTTTTATAATGTAATTACGTTTAAGGGCTATTCCCCTCTTGGAAATTTTAAATCTCCAATCTGAACACATCTTTATGAATACTTTGCGCTGGAAAGGGCTATTGCACACCCTTCCCAAAATCGATTAATTTTCGGTGACGTCACATTACTTGTAAATGCCAAACAATGTTCAAGTGTAGTTCTGATACATTGTGTTCCAACGAAACTTTTTATCGCTTTGTGATGTCATGTAACTTGCTATTTTATGCATTCAAAATCGTTTTAATATAATATACTCAACCCAAGTCTCATTCTGTTACCTCGTGCTTAAATTTTGCACTTTTACATGGGGAATAGATATCAAATATTACGTTTATATTAGGTTATGGATGCCAAATATTTATCTTTTACACGGGGATATACCATCAAGTCTTGTCCTATACACTCTTAGTATAAAGGTGTGATAGGGTGTGACTTCCACAAACACACCCATTGTTGTTGAAATTGTGAAAATTCACAAACTTAAAGGCACAAATTTAGACGAAATAAAACTGCATACTCTTGTTATGTACGTAAATGTATAAACATAATGAAAAGTGATGGTACTTGTCTGTCAAGAAAAAACTTACACTAAGATAATTTTATGATCACTATCAAATGTTACTAAAATAATCTTTAAAATATATACATTTACAATTAAACTTAGTTATGTAAAGTATGGCTTTTAAAAATGATAGTATTTGATATTTCATAATTCTGTTGTGGGTGTAAAATCACTTTTTCTGACGAAGGGTGTGAATGCAAACTTTTTGGGTGTAGCTTCTGTATCAGTACTTCACACCCAAAAAGAGTGTGAAATCACACCTTTTTTAGAGTAGATAACTTCAATCAATAGATATTAATAGTGAAACTAATCCGGTGATTTTTTTTATATTATGATATATATTGTTTTGGAATGTGTAAAAACAATATGTAATGTTGCCCACCCAAAATTGAATTAGAAGGTTTCAATAATGTAAATGCCAATCGTAGGTCATTTAAGAAACTGAACTAATTCGTACTTTCTTATTATGTAAATCAGTATGTTATTCAACATAAAAGTCTTACTTTAAAATATTCTAACCCATAAATCAGTACATTATATATCGTATCAAATAATCAGAAGTATATTTATTATACAGCTATGAACAAAAGTTTGTATCACTCTAGGATTTTAGGGATGATACATAATAATAACAATAAAAATATAATTATTTGAGCACAATTTATATCTTTTATTCAACACCATGTTATAAAAGACACCCCAGGACAATATCGCAAAAATTTACCATAAACCATAATAATAATATTTAGTATTTACTATGCATTAAGTGTTTTTTATCGAGACGTTTTTAATAACCACTGAAGGGTTGAGAAACATCCATGTAGCATTTAAACGTAACGCTGTTCACTAGGGTTTATTCAATTTCATGAAGCAACATTAGATGATTCTAGGATGGTGCAGAACTTTTGGCTATATCTGTATGTTGGAAACTTCTGTGACACATGTAAGTGTGAACACATCGCGTATATAGTATGAGTACGTAATATGAAACATAGGAGGAAAGCAGATAATATATACGTAGGAAGTTTCAACATTATATTAGTTAATCTTAAACTCACCCTATTTCAAGTACCTTGGAACATATATGATAAGTTATCTTCCATATTACGGAAAACTATCATAGGTAGTTCGACTTCTGATCATAAGTTTTGATTTCATAAAAAAAAGTTACCTTTAGAAATAATACAGTAAGAACGTTCTGAAAGCATCCTAGTTTAGCTTTGGTTGTTACATTTTTCAATAAAATAAAAACATTCAAAATCTCCCGGAACAATTCAGCTGAGGACGTTAGTCATTACAATAATATGTAAAAATCTATGTCGAAATGTTTGAATCACCCTAGAACTGTCTAATTTTTCTTCATAAAGTCAAATTAAACCTGGTGAGTAATGTTACGTTTAAAGTCTGTATCTAAAGGTTAACTCCACTCTTCATCGCATCAGTGAGTACATGTCTGAAAGGATTAAGGAAGTCTTAAAAAATCTTGAAATTCACTGCAAATACTAAGTGTTACTTTTATGACTTGCAGGAGACTTTTATGATGTTATTTGTGATGTTTTTTATTAAAGCACTCCAGTGGCACAGCGATATGTCTACTGACTTACACTGCTAGAAATCGGGTTTCGATACTCGTGGAGGGCGGAGCACAAATAGCCTATTGTATAGCTTTGTGCTTAACTACAAACAAATCTTTGATTAAATTATGTTAAATAAAGGATCAAAATTATGTTAATATAATTTTTTTTATATCTCCTTTTTAAAATTCTAGTGTGATGCCCAAGTCTGTAATTTTAAAATACTTTTTAAAAATTCCATAATACGAATAACTTTGGAAAGAGAAAAATTAATGTTCAAAATTTTTTTAAAATACCCACATAGATAAGGCTAATAATTCTACCATTTGCCGCTAGATGTCACATAGAATAAGACATTTGTTTGTTGATAAAGGCATTAGTTGTTTATAGGTGAGAATGGCTGCTGTAAAAGGAACAGCTCTCCATCCGGGGGATATAGCAGTAATCGTAGGCTATTTTATTGGTGTACTTTTTGTAGGATTATGGGTAAGTATCTTTCTTCTTACTTCATATAGGCAGTTTTATATTTTGTACGAATATCTATAATGTTATTAAGTACATAAATTTGAAAATACAAGTAGAGAAACCAAATCGTTTAAACTCTTTAAAAAGAAAGAAATTATTAATGTAAAACTAATTACTCTTGAAAATAGTTACTTATATTACTTTTAGTATGTTGAATGTGCATATTCTTTATTCATGTAAAACTAATTACTCCTGAAAATAGTTACGTATAGTACGATTTATCTTTTATCTTATATACTATCCAGCATACATTGTATAAAACTTTGTTCTAAATATATAACTGAAAAATCATTGTTTTTAATCAACATTTTCGTTTTTCACTTTCCATAAATAGTTAAGTAGAAACTCAAACAAAATATGAAGAGCCATTTGTATCGATTTTAAGTTGAAAATGCTAATATTTACTCATTTCATTGATTTTAATGGCTTTCATGAGTGTAATTTCTTGTTTTTAAATAATATTGATTATATAAATAAATATATAATGAGTTACAAACGTCAACTATAAGTCTGCCCTTGTTAAGTTATATATTTCTCTATAACTGAATTAACTGTTTCTAAAATACTTTGATTTATACGATAAACTTAGTTTTATAGATATATTCATCCAAGAACATCCTAGTAAAGCCAGTCGTGGCCTATTGGTTAACGTTCAAAGCTGCGATTCTGAGGTTCTAGATTTGACTCTGAACACACTCCGTACTTTCGGCTATGGACGCACTTATAATAGCAGCAGCAATTTCGCTATTCACGTGAGTGATCACGTAAGTATTGAATGTTGCTGACTGGCTCGCACGCCTGGTCAGAAGTTCAAAACTAGGAATGGCTATGAATGTACACCTGACAGTTAAACCTATTTAAGTTGCATTATTAACGTTGAAAATACCATAGCGCACCTCTCTCGGTTTTAAACTTTCTGTTGTTTTTTACTTAGTATTTCAGAATAATTGTGAAACTGCGTTCTCAACTCTTCTGGTTGTGGAACTAGTTCTTTAAATAATAAAGTATTGTCGTTAGTTTATTATTAATGCAAAGCTACACATTTGGCTATCTTTACTCTGTCCATCGCAGATAGCCGAATCCCGGATTTTAGCGTTGTAAATCCCTAAACTTACCGCTGACCAACCGCATTTAATTGAGAATGATGCATGAAATTAAACGTATTATGTTATTATTATTTAATGAAGACGACAAACAACATCAGAAAAATGTTTAATTACTTTTACCCGACGTTTCGGCTTACGCCTTTATCAATGGTCTATGAACGTCACAGGTTACCAAACTGATTCTAAATGACAGTAACCGAAAACAAAATACAGCTACAACAATATAACGGATACGAGTATAGTCGAACAGTTTAGAGTCGTTGATCATAAAAATAGAGAAAATAATAATAATAACATAAAAATATATAAAATCATAATGATAAAATTAATAATAATAATAAAATGTTAAAGGGGCCAGGCATTGTACCTATTAGTGGAAGAGAGTCTGTATTGAATCAAAATATTATATATTATGCTATTAGTTGATGTTTTCAAAGAACTAAATTTTTTGTTTTAAAAAACTGTTTCAACAACGATTTTTTTCATATATTTTTACAAAATTGCAACACAGTGTTGCTCGAGTTAAACGAATGCTATTACATATAAAGTAAAAATGTCTATGTTTTCAATAAACAAAGTCTAATCTTATTAACACTCTTCAGGATCAATATTGGTATTTTTAAATCTGAATGACACCTTATGTACACATGGGATAAGTGCACTGGTTAGAGACGCCTAGGATTCAAGTACAGCTGTCTTTAACTGCAAGCTACTGACCAGAGAGTGAACGCAACGAGATAGTGGTACACGCTGCCACAAGGGTTTTTACCGCTTTGAATGGTATTGACTGTGAATTATATAATGCGTCGACAGTTGGAAGTACGGAGAGAGTTTAACTGCGCGAACCTTATACTTTACGATTCACAGTTAGGCATGCTAACCACTAAGTCACTCCTGGTCCAACAGGCTCGGTAAAGAAAACCTGAAGCCATTGGCACTATTTAGAGTCAGTAAATAACATCTAATTCTGTAGATGGACAAAAACCCACAAACGTCGTCAAGATAGTGAGTTCATTCGTAGTTATTGTATAAAAATTATTAAAAGATCCTAAACTTAAAGACTTCATACAAACGTGATAGATATAACCTATCCACATAATCCCACAAAAAAGCCATCAAAACAGCTTAATCAAAGCCAGTAACATCACACTAACACTGCAGGTTTTGTGAAAAGCTTGCTAAGAGAGCCAAGTACATTAGACTTATTCGTACAAAGCTGAATTATTGAGATAATGTAACCCTACTTATATTTAGTAGTACCCGAAACGTTCTGAATAGAAAGCTGATTATTGATTAAACTAGAGCCCAGACTAGAATAAAAAGAGACCGTAAGAAATCAGATTCATTTTTGGGAGGCAAGTCCAAAATTTTAGAACATCCACAAAATTACTACACATGGAGAAATAAAAAAAAACTTCTAGGGTAGAAACAAATCCTATTTTAATAATTTTTTTACCTGTTTCTCAAACCGTTTTATAAACGCTACAAAAAGTACTGACTATTACTATTTTTGGCCCAGCATGGCCAGGTGGTTAGGGCGCTCAACTCGCAATCTGAAGGTCGCGGGTTCGAATCTCCGTCCCACCAAACATGCTCGCCCTTTTAGCCGTGGAGGTGTTATAATGTGACGGTCAATTCCACTATCCGTTGGTAAAAGAGTAGCCCAAGAGTTGGCGGTGGGTGGTGACGACTAGCTGCCTTCCCTCTAGCCTTACACTGCTAAATTAGGGACGGCTAGCGCAGATAGCCCTCGTGTAGCTTTGCGCGAAATTCAAAAACAAACAAACAAACTATTACTGTTAAAGGCTTCTTTGAATATTAGCAATGCACCCTCACTATATTATAATAAGCGTTCTTATTCATCAAACTGAAAGCATAAACAATCGCACCAACCTAAGACAGCACAAGAGATCATGGTCCTTATATTATGCGGCATTAATGGTAACATTTGATAGAATTGAAAGGTTAAAATATCCGCTAAGGCTTATTCCTGCTTGCACTATTCGTAAAACCACCATCACCACGTTCATCATATTTCTATATGGTTCCATATTTCCTGCAAATGAATATATACCAATTTTCTGGCTGTAAAGTCAAACATAAATCATCTTTCAAATGGAATATTGTTTCACACTTCATTCTTTGTAGAACCTTTGTAACTAATTGTTTTGTGCCTTATTGTGAACAGAATGCGTTTCATTGGGTATCTGCCATGCTTTTTTAACCCAATCTGTGCAACGCCAAAACAATGGATTGTTGGCCATTAGGGATGAAATTCAGAATGATCACCAACAATGTCAGGGCATTG